TTTTTTTAACCCCCAATCCTCACCTGTCCAGTCTGTCTCTTAATCCTACTCAAGAATTTCTGGAATTTTCTCAAGCTCAGCCCTTCCTTCTCTCTCCTCAGTCTTGGCTTTTATTGCTTCCCACCCAAGTGCATCCAAGGCCTTCCATCTGGCCTTGGGAACCATGGGGCAGTCTTCTCAGCATCCCCTGCCTTTCCCATTTTAAAAACAATCAGTGGCTTTTTGGTTCAAATCGGGATTTATCTGAAAGGGAGAGGGAAGGCAATCCTCTGAATTTATTCCTCCCAGAGCAGCCCCAGGAATTATTTTAAAATGCAAATGTGAGGGCAGTGACTTTATTTTATCTACTGATATATACTCCTCAGGGCCAATAACGGTGCCAGGCACATAGTAGGTGCCATTTTCAGTTGAAATGTCACCTCCTCAGGGAAGTCTTCCTAGATTCCCTCAGGCTGGGTTAGATAGATGGCGGGGAGCACTTGCAGGTGCAAATACATGCACTATAAAATACATAGACCTAAATCTCATATGACAGATATCACAATTGTAATTAATACTTTTATAATAATGAAATTATTATACAATGTCATAATTAAATGATTATTGGGATGACTATTTGTTTAATGTTGCCAGACTATAAAATCCATGAAATCAGAGACCCAGTCTGTTTCATTCATCTGTGTTCTGAATGCGGGGTACAATGACTGGCACAGGGTGGCACTCTGAAAATTTTACTCAATGAATGTATCTATGAAGTACCTACTATATGCCACACACTGTACACACACCTAATCTTCACCATGACTTTGCAAAGTAAGTGTTAATTACCTCACTTTTTGGTGAGAAAACCTTGAGGGGACTTGGCCGATGTCACATGGCTAAAATAAGGATAGGCACTTAAACCCAAGGCAGGCAGTATGTCTTCAGCTCCAATACACCTGCCATCTAGCTGTTGGCATCTCTATCTCTCAGGGCTGTGAAGCCCAAACTGAGAAGTTTGTCTCTGATTTTCCACCTTTCCCTTTTCTGCACTCACCACTTCTCCATCATCTCAAATATTCTCTATCGTTCAACTTGTTCTTAGAACACATTATTCATACTCAACTGAGAAGTTTGTCTCTGATTTTCCACCTTTCCCTCTTCTGCACTCACCACTTCTCCCACCCATCATCTCAAACATTCTCTATCGTTCTTTTAACTTGTTCTTAGAACACATTATTCATACTCTGGAGTAAATAGTGGATAACTTAGATTTCCCATATAACCAAGAAAGGAGAATCACACGAGGGGTCTACTGTCTGTATTGTTGGCTGCCTTTCCTCCTTTATACTTCCGGCCTCGGGAGTGGGGTTAGGGGGTTTGGCCGGTCCACTCTGGTCAGGTGAGCAGGCAACCTGGAGTGCAGTAAGAAGAGCACTGGTCCAGAACAGGAGGCTTCTGACCTGGCGACACTCTGTCCCAATATGCTAGGAGGCTTTAGGCAGTCCCTTGCCCTTTCTGGGCCTCAGTTTCCCTCCCTCCCAAAAGTGGGAGTTGGATGATCTTTCGGGTTCCTTCCAGCGCTGGACATCTGCCTCTGACGGAGGGGGCTGTCCCGTCCTTAGTACTAGGAGCTCGCACACACAGAGCATGTACTGTGTTTGGGCACAGTTCTAAGAACTCCACATTTATTCCTCACTTGATGATGACACTCATACTGTGAGGCACTGTCCTCATTTTACAATTGAAGAAACAGGCCCAGAGAGGTTAATTCACTTGCTCAAGGTTACTATTTCATTGTAGTATATAATATTATCCACACTTACTGGTGTAAGACAACCATTTATTCTGTGAGTCAGGAATTTGGGGAGGGTTCAGCCAAGCAGTTTTTGTTTGAGTGTTTCTTATGCAGTTGCCATCAGATGTCAGCTGGGGCTGCATCAAAGTGGGACACCCAAGATCACTTACTCACACGCTTAGTAGTTGACGCTGGCTGTCAGCTTGGAGGTGGGCTGGGCTTACTATGGCTTCTCTAGCACAGCCATCTCAGGGTAGTCAGGCTTCTCACTGGGGGCTGGCTTCCTCCTGAGTGCAAAACCTGCCTGAGCCATAAAGAAGCTGCAGGAAACTTTCTGACCCAGCTTCAGACGTTTGCATATCACTGCTTCTGCATTCTACTGGTTACAAGCCAAGTCACTAAGGTTGACCCAGTTTAAAGGGAGGGGACCCTACCACTCAATGGGAGGACAAAGAATGTGCACACATGTTTTAAAGCCACTACAGGGACTATTGCTGAAAAGTGAAAAAGCTGCAATTTGAACCTCTAGAGGCTGGCTCATTGCTGGTCTCTCAGACATTCTTCATGCGCCTCACAGGAGGGTTCTGGGCAGAGGAGCGGCAGCCTCTGACTTCAGTTTTCACAGGGTCCCCCCTGGCTGCGGAGTAGGGGCCAAGGGCAGAAGCATGGAGACCAGAGAGGAGGTTGCTGCAAGACTCCTGGTAAAAGATGATGGCAGCTTAGCTCAGGATGGTAGTGGCAGTGGAGGGAAGGTGGGGAGGAATGGGGAGAAGTGGTCAGATTCTGAATACATTTTTGGTGTAGAATTGTTAGGAATTGCTGATGGATTAAATATGGCAGGTGAGAGAGAGAGGAATCAAAGATGACTCCAAGATTTGTGGCCTGAACAATGGGGGAAAATGGAGCTGCCAATTACCAAGATGGGGATGAATGGGGGTTGACGATTAACCACCACACCAGGCTGCTTTCAAGGTCTGGATCCATTTCCTGGGAAGGGAGGAGGGATCAGGAGCATTTACCTATGCCAGGCACTGTGCTAGGTGTTTTGCACATTGTGGTAGGCAGAGTGGTAAGAATGACCCCAAAGATTCTGCCCCTGGTATAAGCCCCTCTTGTCTGAGTGTGGATGAAATCTATGAATATGATGCAATATCACTACAGCGATTATGTCACATTATATGACAAAGAGACATTATCCGGGTAGACTTAATCTAATCACATGAATCCTTGAAAAGCAAAGTTTTCTCAAGCTAGTAAGCAGAAAAGAAGTTAAATTCAAAGGATGAGAAGTGTTTGATATTCTGACGATAACCCTGAAGATGGAGGCCATGTGCAAAGACCAGAGAGCTGCTTCTAGAAGCTGAGAGTGACTCCCAGCCAATGGCCAGCAGGGAAACGAGGGTCTTGGTCCTTCAGCCACAAAGAACTGAAAACTGCCCACACCCTGAGTGAGCCTGGAAGCAGATCCTTCTCCAGAGCCTCCAGCTAAGAGCCGAGTCTGGCTGGTATCTTGCAAGGCATAAGAAAAGAACCCAGTTGAGCCTTCTGACCTATGGAGTTGTAAACTAATAAATAGGTATTGTTTTTAAGTTTTGTAGTTTGTTACACAGCAATAGAAACTTACCTTACTTAATCTTCATAGCCATTCAAAATGGAGGGTCCGGCCCCCATTGTATAGATGAAGAAACAGGTAGGTGAAGTAAAGAGATTTGCCCTAGGCACACAGGATAGTTGGGACTGGACCTCTGGGATCTTACCATCTCACCAGGCTGCTTCATAAAGGTGTCAGAGCAGCTGGCAGAGGTTAGACATCTGGGGCTTGACTAGGTGGGGACCTCAGGTCCTGGGTCAACTCCAGGGAATGGAGTTCAGGTTTTCGATTGTGACTCTGTTCATCTCAGTGTCAGAACCTGTGTATGTGAGTCCCTGAAGGTGTGTATGTGGGAGTGCCTGTGTGAGTGTGTGAGCCTGGCAGAGTGTGTCTCATTGTGTGTGAATCTGAGGGTATCTGTGCATCAGAATATATCTACCCCTGGCAGTGACTAAGTCTGTGCGGCTGTGTCTCAGTGTGAGCATGTATGTGCTCACTTGTGTCTGAGTGTCTCTCTAAAGTCTGTGTCTGAAGGTGACGGTGTGAATCTGACAGTGCTTGCCAGTGTTTGTGTGTATGTGTGAATCAGTGCTGTGGGAGTCAGCGCTAGGTATGGGGGAGAACTGAGTGTCTCTATGTGCAGGTCTGAGAGTGTGTGTCATCTGAGCCTATGAGTGCCCTGTGTATGAATTCTAGGGTGCCTGTGAGTAGCGTGCGTGCATGAGAGTGCCTGTCTGAACTCTGTGGGTTTGTGTGGGATCGGAGGGTCTCACTGTGTGGTCAAAGGTGTCTATACTTGTCACTCTATATGTGTCTGCAAGTCTCTGGATGTGAGTTTGTGTGTGTTCCTGGGTGTATCTCCCTATGCGGGTTCTCTGGGTGTCTGGAATCTGTCTGAGGGTTTCTGTGGATTGCTTTGGCAAGTGTCTGTGAGTGAGTGAGTGGGGGGTGGCCCTCTCCGGTGTGTTGTATGAGTCTGAGGGTGGCCGTGGTATATCTTGCACAGTGAATACAATTGTGTGGGTGCCTGATTGAGCTCCTCCGAGGGTTCATGTGTGAACCTGAGGGTCTTGCGTGCCAGTCGCTCCTAGTGTGTCCCTTCTGAGCGGGTCTGTGTCTCTGGGTGAGGCCTGTTTCGGTAGGTGAGTGGAAGCCTGAACCCGGACGATACAGAGGGCTGAGTGATGGGTTGGGGTACCGCCACCGGACTGAGTCGCAAACAGCCTGGCGCGGTCCTCCCTCAGGCGCACACCTGCCGGGGTTGGGGGCTGCGAGTCGGCCCCGCCCGCGCCCTCCCGGC